GGCTAATATACATCATTTGCCTTTTTCTTTAAGGTATTTTTATGTTCAGAAATTTTAAATTTTGATGTTCAGAAGTTTTTAATTTTGCATATTTTCTCAATAATAAAATCACTCAGAATTCCAAATTACTGACTTATAACTGGGCATTTGAAATATACCCAGTTGTACATGTAGGGTCTTATATACTAGCTACTTCATGGTATGTTTTCATATCTTTTCTGCATGTAAGTTCCTTGAAAGTACAGGCCATGGCATTTCTTGAATGCCCTACAGCAACCAGCTCATAACCCAGAACATAGCAGAGCTCCAAAGGTCTGAGATGAAAAACAATTGTGTCTGGGATCTGCTTTGAAGCAATCCAGTTTGGCGTAGGAGATGAAAATAGGGTAAAGATGAAACAGAATCAGCCAGATGTTAATCATTGTTGAAGCTGGGTGATGGGTACATGGGGTTCATTATACTATTATTTCTACTTCTGTGTATATATATATATATATATATATATATACACACACACACACACACACATATATATATGTACTTTTTATATACATATATGTACTTTACTGTCTGAGCCACCGGAGAAGTCCTATACACACACACACACATATCTTTACAGAGGCAGGTGAGAGGCACATGTCTGTAGCTTGCAGAATCTTAGTCCCCTGATGAGGGATCAAACCCATGTCCCCTGCAGTAGAAGCCTGGAGTCTTAACCACTAGACCACCAGAGAACTGCAGCAACTTTTCTGTATATCTGAAAATTTCCATAAGCAAAGGGATTTTTTTTTTAATGTTTGCTTGATTGATTGGCCAACAGCATCAGAGAGGGGACTTCTGGAATAACAATGGCGATGCAAATTAATTACATATACATCAAGGACACTTTTGTAGCATAAAAAGGTTAAGAGCACAGGCCTTGAAATTAGGTAGACCTGGGTACAAATCCTTAGTGACCTTGAACTTATTATTTAACCCCTCTGAAACTCAGTTTTCTGGCATAAATAAGGGTATTAATAACTACCTCAAAAGGTTCTAGTAAAGATTGATGAGTGTAAAAATCAATGCCTGGCAGCAAACAGCACTCAATAAAGAGTTGCCATCATAATTATTCAGTGATGCACAAGCTTGACAAGCCAATATCCTAGTGGTGGTCATCCAGTACCATTCCTCTATGGCTGTGATTTCAGTTCATCATATTGGGCAGCAGACAACAGCTTGGCAGAGGACTTGGAGAACAGATGTTAGGAGTTAACATTCCTGATACCCAGAAGACAAAGCAGATAGGACCACAGCAAAGGACAAAATCAGTAGCTCTCATCCTTACACAGCGGGTCATCAAAAAGCCTTAACTCCATAGTCCAGTGATGCAACCAAGAACAAGAGTGATGAAGCGCTTATAACAGCAGGTCATTCACAACGTGGACCAAACACTGGTATGTCTCTGGAGAGCTTGAAATAATAATAATGTCTGGGTCCCTCACCCAGAATTTGATTTAATGATCTGAGATATGGTCTAGATATCAAGGTTTTTTAAAAACCTAATGTTCTAATGTTTACCACTTTGCTGTTTGAGTTGGGGTGCAGGGTAGCAAGAGAAGCAGTCAAGGGAAAACAAATTAGAGAACAGAGACCACTGTATCCCATATGAACCCCATTAAAGCCAACCTAGTCATGTGGTCCCAAGCTGTGTCCCATGCCAGACAAACCCAGCCCCATGAGGGTCCCCTCCATATACTTCAAGAGCACATTACCGTATAGTAATTCCCAGGACTAAAGTATATTATTAACACCAGGATGCATGCATGTCAATAGTCTAAGCAAGGTTGAAATAATGTACCTGGTCTCTGGGTTTTGGTCTTAAGGAAAACAAAAACAAAAAGAGTTCAAGTCAGTGATATGGAGGTTGGGGGAGGCAGAAAAGCATTTTTTTTTTCTCGTAGCCTTTTGGCAGCCTGTCAATGCAATTGAAGCACACTCAAAGAGACAGCCTCATTTTGTGAAGTTATTGCAGCGTCTTTGATCAAGGGAAAAAGCACATCCATTTCAATCACTGTGACGGGGTCGGACTGGCTGTCTGGCTGCCTGGCTGCCCACCGGGGTGAGCCCGCCTCCAGCCCGCAGACACATGGCAGCGCTTAGCATGTCAAACAAACGAGGGGGCTCTTGACTGTTGATCCAACCTCTGCTGAACTTCAGGGGCCCCCGCACTTAGCAATTCTGCCCAGGCTAATCTGGAAGTTCCCCTCCCCTGCAAACACCACCTGGTCCAGCCTGGCCTCCCTCAAACAAAAGCTGGCAGCAAACACTTCAGAACCGGGAGGGCAGGGGTCAACCGTTCTCATAAGCAACACACTCAGGATTACAGAAGCCTAGAAAGGGGAAAAAAGGATTCCGCCTCCTCCCTATTACCTTGACCCCTGTCTTAGCCCCAAATGCAGCTGCAAGAGGTTTGATATTCTCCCGCAGACGTGAATTTTCAGCGCAAAGATCACCTGGATTCTTTTCACTAGAATAAATGATAAAGAATCCATGGAGGAAAGGTTCAACAGATTTTCTTTTTCTTGGGTGACATCGTCTGTAACATCCTGAGAAGATCTGAGTAACAGAACCAGAGTAGAGATGGGGCTAATGTTGACAATGGCAGATATTTATACAGTATTTATGTGTTAAAAGCATTTTACGTGTGTTGACTCATTTAATCCTCATCACTACCTTATGAGGTAAGCTACAGTAATACTCCATAGTAATAATAACAGTAACATATAACATGTATAATATAATAATTTGTTGTTGTTTAGTTGCAAAGCCATGTCTGACTCTTTGTGACCCAATGGACTGTAGCCCACCAGGCTCCTTTGTTCATGGGACTTGCCAGGCAAGAATACTGGAGTGGGATGCCATTTCCTTCTCCAAGGGATCTTCCTGACCCAGGGATCAAACCCATGTCTCCTACATTGCAGGTGGATTCTTTACCACTGAGACACCAGGGAAGCCCATAATAATGATAATTACTATATAAAATAATAATAGAGATAATAATCTCTATTTTTCACTTAAGGAAATTATGACCTAGAGAAATTAAATGATGTGCATGAGGGGGTGGGAGGCTTCACACCCAGGCTGTCTGGCTCTAGGTGTGGTGTGCTAGCCACAGCACTAGACGGCCTTTCTCTAGTCCACACCTCAGAGCCGCCTTACTGTTTTTTAAACAGGCATTTTTGTTTCTGTTGAAAAGAAACAAACCAGCACAATATTCAAATTAAGGAGAGAACTTGACTAAACTCTAAGAATGGAAATTTACTACACATTTGTTTTACGGAGATATGAATTTTAATATTTTTATAAATTCATCTAAAATTTTGCACCACGTGTTTATTTTATTTATTATGATAGCTACATAGTAAAGAGCTACATTTCTGGGAGAATTTCGAGAGGGGATAAAATCAAGATAAAACACGGAATGCTTTGCACGCAGGGGCCGTGCTAATCTTCTCTGTATCATTCTGATTTTAGTACATGTGTCGCCGAAGTGGGCTCAGAGAGCTTCCTTTTAAGCTGCCAGCTCAGAGAACAGCAGAGTGTGGAGGGCTCCGAGGGAGCTTGGGTGCTGGAGAGATTTGAGCGTAGCTCCCAGTTCCTAGACCACTCTGCCTCCTGCTGTGGTTGCATCTTCTGTAAATGATGACAGCAACACCTACCTGGCAGGCTCGTGGTGAGACTTAAGTGGGAAGATGAATACAAGCACCTCTCAGAGGGTGGGCAGCCAAGGTCAGTTTAACCTCGTGCTATCAATCTTGGCTAAACATTGGAAACTTTAAAAAACACAAGGCGCCGTCCCTACCCCACCACCTCCACCAGCACTCAGCCTGAAATCAGCAATCCCCTGGGCCCAGCCCTCAGATGAAAGCTGAAACCCAGCGGACCAAAGGCCAGCCTCACCCTTTCCCTCCGTCCCCACCTCCTCAAAAATTCTGGGACGATTTCAGGGAAACTGAAACTCCTAAGGCCCCCGCCTCCAGCCCTCACGTGGCAGAGGTCCCCAAATGACATTACCTTCCAGTGGGAGTCACGCCTGTCCCAAGCAAGGGGCCGACCCACCCTTGTCCAGTGACGCTCCCCACTTTCATCCAGCTGTCTCCGCCCCGCTAGACTGTCCCCACCTCCAGCCTGAAAGCTCTACCACCCGGCTGTCCCATGCTGCCTGCGTTCCAGTCTGTGCCAACTTCAACATAGCCGGCATTACTTTTACCCAACCTCCAGCCAGAAGATCACACTGGATCAGAGGGAAGACTGCCTGAAAGGAGATTTCAGAATCTGAGTGCATGCATACACGAGTGCACACGCATGCTAGCACAGACACCACACGTGCACATGTGCACATAGATACCATGTACCACACAGCACACACATATGCCACACCCACACACACACAAAGACAGCCTCCACACACACATACACAGAAACCATACAACACACACAGAGACACACATGCACACAAGAACCACACAACACACACAAACATCCACCCACAGGCACACATACACCACGCAACACACGTACACCACACACACATGCACGCACTCCACTAGCCATAGACACTTTACACGCCAAAGGAGCATGGCTTCAGTTGCAGCTTGGGGCAGGATAAAGAGGTGTGCAGAAGGGGCAGCAATGAACAGTGAAGGGAATACAGAGGCTGCCCATGGAAACCCACGAGGATAAGAAAAAATAACCAGCCTACATTTGATAGAAGAGGAAAACGAAGACGGGCAGCGGGAGGACGGGGACAGAGCACTGCCAGTTTCCTGGCTCCATCTCACACAAGCCTTTCAGGACCCACTGCCAGCGGCGGGCACCCAGTGGCAGGGGGGCCCGGGAGGGGGACACAGGCCCCAGAGGCAGCACGGGGGCTGTCACAGAGCCCTCATCCGTTTCCAGGAAGCAGGGCTCTCGGGGCCCTCCTGCTCCCGGGGCCTGAGAGAGTAGACAAGGCCTACCTGGGTGAAGGAGCCATCCTCCGTGCACTCCGGGACAAACACCGCCTCCTGGGGCTTCTTGGCTTGCTCCAGGGCCTGAGCCCGCTCCTGGCGGCACTTGCTCTGGCCAGCGTCTAAAAGAGGGAGGTGTGCACGTCAGAGTCCCTTGGACCCCACACAGGAGCCACGGATTCCAGTTGTAGAAATGCTGAGAGAAAAGCACTGTGTTGTGGGGGCCCACACACCGCCACACATCACACACATACACCACACATGCAGGCAGAAACCACACCACACAAACACAGGCACACATGCACACAGACACATAAAAGCTGGCTGTTCCGGGAACACGAGGGCAGGGACTAATGAATGCCCCACAGCCTCACCTGCCTCTCAAAGGTATTCTTAGAAAAAGTCAGGGGGGTCATATTTATACCCGGTTCTGTTTATTCCTTTTCTCCCAAATATCCCCAATCCGTCCTAGGGGAAAAAAGTTCTACTTCTATTATTTTTCACTGACTTTATTTAAAAACATGGAAGCCCAAGGAGTCTCAAAGATGTTTTGCAATTCAAAAACTGCAAGCTCTTTTCTTTTTTTTTTTTTTCCTGGAGCCACCATGGATTTTTTTTAAAAATATTTATTTGTTTATTTATTTATGTGACCATGCCAGGTCTTAGTTGTGGCATGTGGGATCTAGTTCCCTGACCAGGGATTGAACCCAGGCCCACTGTACTGGAACACAGAGTCTTAGCCTCTGAACCATCAGACAAGTCCCCAGCAAGCACTTTCTTTGGGAAATCAGAGGCTCTAGGGCAGCCGGCTTAGCCTCCCACAATTTCTGTAATAGCTCTGATCGGTCCATGGGTCACAAACTCACATACCAACAGGGCGTACGAAAGCGATATAAGTTAGAGAAGGGGCTGGGTGTATGAAGCATGGCGTTCAGCTTGGTGACACCACAGGGAATGCCGGGGACTGTGGCAAACGAGAACAGGCTCCCTTTTAAAGGACGTCGCTGCTACTGAGCAGCAGCCACATGTTTGCCTTGAGGGAGGGAACACAGACCTCATATCCCCACAGTTTCCAATTTTTTATGGGAAATACAAACATCCAGATTTTTAGGTTGAATTTCCTAATTTTTAAATGTTGTCTCAAACGTTTTTAATATGTTTAAATGTGTGAGCAGACCAAACAAAACACATCTGTTGGCTGTCAATGTGGAATCCCTATTCAAGAGAGCCAGCCATCATGTTTTGCCATTTTAAGCCTCTCTACAAAAAAAAAAAAGAATTATAAAAATTAAAAGCAATAGCCAAATAGCAGCATCTCTCTAGGCCCTGGCGGCAGTGTTTGAAAGCCAGAAAAGTACTTATCTTTCAACAGACCCGTCCTCCCTGCCATATTCCCTGGTGGAAAGGGTAGGGGGAGAGGTTGCCAAATGAACAGACGCATTCTGAGTTCCCCCGATGGGAGTGCCCCCTGCAAGGAGTGTGGTGCTCAGGTCTGTCTCTCCTCGTTGGGGCACAGGCACACTCACCTTTGCATCTGCCTCGATGTACCACACCCAGTGTTGGGTCTCGGCACTTAGCTCGCTGGTACTCACACATGGACTCGTAGGACCTGCCGTCGGAAGCACAGACAGGTTTGGGTTGAGTCCTGGAGCAGTGGAGGTTGCACTGAGGGTCACGGTCACTTATGAGAAACTGGGTTGGGGAAAAAAAAAAAAAAGTGAAATGGTACAGGGGTTACTTTTGCAAGAAAAGTAAAGATGAGTTCACAATTTACAATACTAACTTGCCTTTGGGAAGCAAGTCCAGAATAATTAATTCCAAAGTTATTAAACCCTAGAAGTAGTAGGAAACCAAGTGACCACAAACTCTAACCAAGGAAGGCATCCTGTACTCAGGAACTCACATGCAGGACCTCATTAAACCTCACAACAACCCTATGAAATAGGAACCACCTATTTTGTAGATAAGGAAACTGAAGCCTAGAGAGAGGTAACTTGCCCAGTTTCACACAGTTCTAAGTGGTGAATCTGAACCTAGACTGGTCAGAGGTCAAGTCCAAGCTTTCACCACTGGGAAATTCAGCCTCTGGTCCACACTGATGGTCTCTGCACTTGGCCCTATTTGGATACCTCCCCAAATCAGGAATGCACCAGGAATTTCTACTCTCCATCTTTGGAAAGTTTTATTGTCTAGAAAGTATTACCGAGCCCCCAAATCTATCACCCTTCCATTTCTGCTCACTGCTCTCTGTCAGAATACAGGTTAAGTTATTTTCTATTCTTCACCCTTCCGTTTCTGCCCACTGCGCTCTGTCAGAATACAGGTTAAGTGATTTTCTATGAGAAGGCAATTGGCTAATTTAACATAAACATCATCATAAGATTGTGAAATGCTGAGTTAAAGTTTTCTTTACGGCAGGACTTCCCAGACACCTTTGGTACATTCTTATGCATTATTTATCTCCCAGAGGTACAGTAAATTAAAGATAGATAGCTCTAAAGTATTTGCTACTCTTCCCGTTGAGTGTGGAGTCTTCCCTTGAACCTGGACTGGCCTCAACAACTTGCATGACCAATAACATGCTGTGGCAGCGATGTTGTCCAACTTCTGGGCAAAGTCACGTGAAGCTTTGCAGCCTCCTTCCAGGTCTCTTGAAACACTCAGGCTGGGGGAAATCAGCCACCAGGTAAGAAGCCCAACACTGAGACCATCATGCTAGGAGGAAGCCCAAGCTAGCACAGGGCAAAACCGAGTGGAGACAGAAATGCCCAATAAACACAGCACAGAGATGTGTGAGTGAAGAAGCCTTCAAATGAGTCTCACTTCAGCAGTCAGTAGATTGTAACTAATAGAGATGAAAAGGAGTAACTGCTTGAGAGACCCCCGCCCAAGCAAGACCCACCCAAGCAAGACCCGCCCAGCTGAGCCCAGTCGACTCACCAGAACTGTGAGAGATAATGATAAGTTATGTCATTAAGTTAAAATTCCTTTTGTTGAAGTGCAGTTGATACACAATGTTTCGGGTATGCAGCAAGCCACTAAGGTTTGAGTAGTTTGAAACAGAGCAATAGCTAACCAGATCAAGAGCATATATGATGCTGTATCTCTCAGACTTATTTGACCACGAACCCCCTTCTCAGTGAACCCCTGTTCACAACTGTAGGATACAGCTGGAAAACAATAACTGGACTCTACAATCCATGAGCTGCTGTTGAAGAACCCATGATTAGACTGCATGGGCCTTGAGAGCTGGATCCACTCTTTCAACCCTCTATAGCAGAACTCAGGATACAATGAAGGCTCTTCGGCAGGATGAACCGAGAGAATGAAAAAGCCCATCATGGCACGTGGCAATGTCGTGAGCACACCTCTGGCCATCAGTGATGTTAGAGATGACTACACACCACGCTCATAGAAGCTTAGGGAAGGTATGACTACAGGCCCTATTTCTATCTGCAGGCCCTTCATGTAAAGCAAATAGATGAGAACTTGTTGATCCTTTTCCAGAACATCCAAGGGAGGTCCAGAGGAAATACCCCTCCCTTCAAAGGAGCACACGGCCCATACTGGCCAAATCCAAAGAGAGTCCAAGCCCGTCACTGAACACACAGACCGCCTCCCAGCTGTAAACCCAGTCCCTCCCGCTCTCCTGACCACACGCTTGCGTGCCGGCTGCTCGGCAGAGGGAAGCAGCAGCTGGACTGAGGCCACCCTGCACACACAGGCTTATCAGGACGGACAGCGCAACTAAACCTCTCTTCAGATCCTCTGGACGGCCACACTCACGCATCCAGCCTGAGTCCTGCCCAAAGCTCAAAGGGAATGTGAGCTTTCCTGAGAGTGTCTCAGTGTCCCCAGGTAACATACGGTGGCTCAGCAGGTAAAGAGTCCACCCACAATGCAGGAGACACAGGAAATTCAGGTTCTATCCCTGAGTCTGAAAGATCCCCTGGAGGAGGAAATGGCAACCCACTCCAGTATTCTTGCCCGAAAAATCCCATGGACAGAGGACCCTGGCGGGCTATAGACCAACGGGTCACAAAGAGTGGGACAAGACTGAGCGACTAAGCACACCCCCAGGTAAAAAATCTGTCGTATATAGAGTCATCTCCCGAGGCAGCCCCCAGGTTGCCACAGAGGGGGGATGAGAGGATGGAGAGCGGCAGGCAGTGTCATCCACACTTCAAACCCCTGGGTGGTGCTCCTCTGTCCCCGGGGACCTTCACAGGGTCTCCTGCCCTGGCAAATCTGACCCCTTCTCTGGCCTCAGCTCTTCCTGCTCTGACCTCAACCTGCTCACTGCTTAGTAGGGCACACTGGCCTGCCCTCCAGGTCCCATTTGCTCCTAACCCCAGGCCTTTATTTTTATTTAATATTTTCTTTTCTTTCTTCTTTATTCGACTGTGCCAAGTCTTAGTTGCTGCATGCAGGATCTAGTTCCCCGACCAGGGATCGAACCCCGGCACCCTGCATTGGGAGCCCAGAGGCTTAGCCCCTGGACCACCAGAAACGTACCCCGCCTCCACCCCCGCCTCAGGCCTTTAGACATAGCAGTCCTTCTCCCTTTCCTCCCGCCGCTGCTCAGACTTGGGCTCGTCTGGGAGGTTGTCCCTGACTCTCACAGGTGAGGACGGGTCCCCCTAGAAGAACTTCTCACATCTCACTTTTCCTTCGGGGCTTTTACCACAGTTTGAGGACAAACTGATTTGTGGGATTTGATTAGCAATGGAATCCCCCACTCTGAGCGTCAAGAAGACAAGGAGACTGTCTCTTTCAGCCTGTAAACATATCTCTGGCATCCAGTGCCATGCTGGGGTGCCCGATTATTTGGGGGACAAACACATCCCTGCAGCGGCCTTTCCCACACGGCATTACCTGCAAACCAGCCGGTGTGAAGTGACAGGCCTGGTCTCCCAAGCTCCTGCCATTCCTGGTGGGAAGAGGGGTCACTGGGCCACTCCCCTACCCCACCCCCAGGCCTCCTCTCTGAGTTTCTCCCTCCCTCCCTCAGAACACTATGGGCCGAGGTGGGCCACTGCCTCCTGCCCTAGCTCCACTTCAGAACCTCGTTATCTCTGAGGCTGAGAGATGGGTCTCCTCTCACCATCCCCACCCCAGGCCCCCCTGCCACTCCTGCCTTCCCAGCCTTGGACCGAGTGGGCACCAGGGAAAACTTGGGACCCAAGGTCCAGCTGAATGATGCAGGCTTAGAAGCCCTGGTCGTGGGCACCTGGGTGGGTACAAGACCCAGTGGGCTGCAACCAGCAAAGCTGCCCTCGGAGTCTCTCTCCCTCCCTCAGACCCATTCCTAATCCGTCTGCAGCCTGGAAATGCAGCCAGACCTGGCTCCATCATTCTGCCTGGTGAGCAGCCGGCGCCGGCCGGAGGGCGGGACCAGTGCTCTCACGCCCTGGCTTGCAGGCTGACCAGTGGCCTCAAAACTGTCCCAGAGCAGGTCACGACACTGCTGTCCCACCGTTCTCTCCTGGTCCATGGGAGTCGGGGTTACTTTACATGAAGTGAGAGCAACCTTGCCTGTCAATCTGCAGGAGCTAGGGAACGGCTGGCTCTCACAATCACACAAGGATGGAAATATCAGTATCTTCCAACACGTGGGGAAGTCAAGGAACTCATCCTTGGTCACAGAGGGATTTGATAGCCAGACCTTGTCTGAAGAGTGATAAGAGCTGGTAATAATATATCACTTACCATACGTTAACTAACGTAACCTCCCCAGTAGCCCTAAGAGGCAGGGTACGTAATGTGCGTGTCAGTGCTGAACTTCACACCCGGGGCCTGGCTCCAGAGCTACAACTTCTAACCACTAGACCACACTGCCTGGCATTACGATAGAGAAACACTGCAAACAGAAACTCTAACCCAAATGAAAAACCGGACTCCGTTTTGGATTAGCAGATACAAACTGCTATACTTAAAATAGATAGACAACAAGGCCCGAATGTACAGCACAGGGAACTACATTCAATATCTTATAATTAACTATCACGGAAAACTAAACAAACAAACTGGATTTCCAAGTCAAAAACTGTTTACCCAAGAGCTTACTGCATGTAAAGCGCCAACTGCTGAAGACAGCCCTGCCCTCCAGGCACTTTAAACCTACCCTAAGTAGCTCCTCATACGGCTCTCTTCACCTTCAAAAAAAGGGATTGAGCATTGCCTCACTGTCTCCTCTGTAGCTCACAGGAGAGGGGAGGTACAGGCATCCCTGTGGTGGTGAACTGTGGGCCATAAATTTGGTTTGGAAATGGCTTACTTTGGACCAACAGAGATGCCACGGCAGCTGTGCCAGAGACCTGCTTCATAACTCGGGGAGCACAGCCTAGAGATGGACAGGTTAAAGGCAGCTTCAGAATAAGCTCCACCTGCCCTCCCCTCTCCCCAAGATCCTTCCTGGCTTCAGAAGAGCTCCCGAAAGGGTCCATCTAGAAATGACTGGCCCCCAAGGCCAAGTGAAAAAGTAACAGAACAGCCGAGGACCATTGCTAAAGACCGTCTCCAGTCATTTATGGTGTCTCATCTTCATCTATTTTAGGAACTGCGGGAGTTTGTGATTGCTTTCCCAAAAATAGATGAGTTCTATAAAATGGAGGTTTTTTTTTTTTATTCAGGTATAGTTGATTTACAATATTGAATAAGTTTGTGGTAGAAAATACAGTGATACACAATTT